AGTGAAAAATAGAAGTCAGGATAGTAGTAGTGAAGGACTAGTAATAATATTTTTAGTAATTTCCCCATTAAAAGTTTATTTAAAAACAATTTTTTTCATCATGTTTATTTATTTTTGAGAGAGAGAGAGACAGAGCATGAACAGGGGAGGGGAAGAGAGAGAGGGAGACACAGAATCCGAAGCAGGCTCCAGGCTCTGAGCTGTCAGCACAGAGCCTGACGCGGGGCTCGAACTCACAGACCACGAGATCATGACCTGAGCCGAAGTCGGACGCTCAACCGACTGAGCCACCCAGGCGCCCCTAAAAGTTATTTTAAAAGATACTAATATTTGACATCAGTGATTATCGGTCACCAATGGATAGATTAGATTTGTAGTTACCATTCCATAATTCATGTTTGCATGCAAATTATGTTGCTATAATTATAGTCCATTGCCTATTAAGACAAAGCTATTTATGTGTTAGGTTAATGTTTAATTGATATGCAGAGTACTGGGATAAACATACATATACACGTACACACCTGTATGCATATATCTTTGTTATTCAATTTTTTTGCTGTCTGCCCACCATCCCTGTTGCTCATACAGTGCTACAGTGAGATACAGGATCAGGATCCAAATTTAAGCATCAGGAAGGAAGACAGATGCATGCTACTGGTGGGGGAGTGTTGGGAGAGAAATGCTCCCACCTTTGGCTTGAAAAAGTGGACATTAGCACAACTTATTCAGAGAGATATTTGCCAGTATATATCAAAAACTTTGAATATGCACATTTCCTTTGCTTTAGCAATTCTACGTCGAGGAAATTATTTGTAGGGAATATGTAACAAAAATGTATGCTGAAACAGTCATTAGGACTGCAGAGAATTAGAAATAATTTAAATAACCAATAACGATAGAGCACAATGCAGCCATTTTCAAAAGATGTTAAGTAAGAATACCTAAAGGTACGTTTACGACATTCTGCTACATTACAACCAGCAGATTACAAAGCAGGTATGTCCAGAACAATCCTGTTATTGTAAGTACTTGAATGTGGGTGTTTACATGTCTGTATGTTGTATGTGTGAATGTGTGTGTTTGTGTGTGTGTATTAGGCTGGAAATAAATGCCTCAAATGAGCAGCATTTTCATGAACAGCATGGCGAGATTATGGACGATTGTTTTTCTTTGAGCTCTTCTGTATTTATCATATTTTCATCAATGAATATGTATTACTTTGGTAATTTGAAATAAAAAAAAAAAAAAACTGTTTTAAAAAGCACCAGCCCATTTGCCACCTGACAGATGGGAAACTGCTCAAGCACAGAGAAAAACAATTGCTTTAAAGTTTTAAAATTAAAATGAATACTTTTTAAAAATCAGATTTGAGTCCAAAAAGTGAGCTACAGACAAGATAATCAAGGTGTCCCTGTGGTTTCAAAACCCATTGTGTAGTTTTAAATAAATATCACTAATGCCAGCTCACTATTGGCTAAAATGGATGTTTTTTAAAACAAACTCTTGCGATTCCAAATCACATTCATTTACATGAACACCTTCACTTTTCTTCCTGTTCTTTTCATTGGGCGCTTCTCTGTGATTAGACAGGCCCCATCTGCCCTTTTGCATCAGACCAGCTTACAGGCAATTGTCTAGAAAACTTGTAAAATACCTAATAAAATCTGATTAACTGCAAGCCTTAATTAATCAGACATGTGGGCTTTGGTTTTTAGGAGAAAGATCAAGGGAAGAGAAAATAAAATATTAGGGGCTTAAGACCAACAAAAAGCTCAGCTTTGCACGCATGCTTCGTGCTTGCTCCACGTTTCCAACGAATCTTAAAATTCAAGCCATAAGAAACCCAAAAGGCAATTAAAAGGAAATTAAAACATTGCCTGTAATCTCCTCACTTTGATTTTGCCATGATTTGTGATTTTTTGGACACACGCTACCAGTTTTTACTGCGTACACAAAACACGTACACTCAAGCACACACACACGCGCGCGAGCGCACACACACACGCACACGGGTGGTGCACTCCCACACCTGGTAATAGGGCGATGGTGAGGACTGCTTCCTTCATCGTGGAAGCTTGTAACTGGAGTGTCCAAGTCTGAAATGTGTTGAGAATTTTTCATTTCTGCAATGGAGACTTTTCTCCTTTAGAGCAGATTTCTAAGGTTTTTCAGAAAAAGCCACAGACCGGGCTCTCTAGTGACACAAAGGTAAAGGACCTACCTGGGATCCTGAGAGAAAAATGGCAAGATCACCACCACTATGACCACGGCTGTCCGGGGTGGCCTGGTTGTGAATGGAAGCAGGGAGATTCTTTAGCCTGACTGTGCCTTTGATGAGTTGGAGAAACGGTTTTTACCGAAATGAAAATTTGGGTTGAACTGTTGGTGTTCCTTATGTTGTGTTATTTAGTTATATAACTAGCTGGCTTTGGGAATTGTGCTGACACCTGCTGTTTTGTTTTTTCTAGGTCAGAGAGGTCAGACCAAACCCTGTGTGCCTGAGTGCACATGGGGTGTGTGTCTGTGGGCAGGTGAGCGGGGAGCTGTTTCCCTTGAAGGAAATAGATACTCTCTCTTTCAGTCATCCGGGGTAGGCATGAAGGTCAGCCCTTATGCGGGAAGGGGTCTCTTCCTCATTAGGACTAGAGGAGGGCGGGGCTGGTGTCTGCTCTATTGGGATCCTGAGAGGGGCTTTGGGTCTGTGAGTGGAAAGGGATGTAGAGCCCTTAGCTACCAAGGCAATCGCTGCACTTGACTCTGGGTTATTCCCCCAAGCATTCAGTAAAGGCTTGCTAAACACCTGAGCTTGGGTTTAGGCAGTTGGAACAGCTAAGGAAGGGAACCAACTTGGAGCCAGTGGCCAGGGAAAGAGAGCAAAGCCTGCTGGGAGAAGAACAAGCAGGTTAGCTCTGTGAAACTGGCAAGCATTCCCTGGCACTTTCCAGAATGACCTTGGATGGAAACTGGAACAAGGGATTTCTTATGATCTTTGGGGTGGGGAGTCTGGAATCATAATTTGGGTATAAAAGAAAACGTAAGCTTACTCATTTTGTACTCCATCTTGGAAGTGGGTGGCATGTCCTAATAGTATGCATATTCTTATTTCTTTTAAAAAGAGAAGCATCATGCATTGTGTTTTATAATCTGATCGTTTCGCTGAAGAATATGTTATGCAAAGTTTCCCATACCGTTAACTATTTTTACACAACATTTTAAACATGGCTGCCACATATTCAAAATGCATAGATGTACTGTGATTTATTCAACCAATTTATTTCCAGCGTCATTATTATAAGCAATACTGTGTTGAATATCCCCACTGCGAAATCTCTAGATACACCCATGACCATCTATTTAGACTAAAATCCTTGAAGCAAAATTTCTAGGTCAAAGGATATGTGCTTTTGACATATTGCCATCGTCCCCAAATGTTGTATTTCCACCAGCAGCCCTGAATCCTTAACAATACTGGCCATTATGACCCTTAAAACAAAACAAAAAAGGTTTGTGACTTTTGCTGGCAAAATAAAAGGGGCATCTCTTGGCAGTGGGTATACACCTGCCAGACGCAGGCCATCAGGTGGTGCGTCATCGGTGGAGAATTTTCAAACAATAATAAAATGTACTAAATTGGTCTTCTCTTTATCAGCAGCACGTGTCAGCCATACGAAACATTTCTGGTGACAAATACCACTCAAAGACAATTTTTTTGGGTCTAATTTCTAAACAACGATTGCAGTTTTCGTTAAGTTCTAAGAAAATAGATACTCTCTTAAAATCAGTGCATTTTTATTACTTACCTCCAATATAAATAGTATTCTACACGGGAGCTAACTTAGAGAACCCCCAGTTATGCGGTCATCTCCAGGCTGGGACACAGGTGGGACAGCTTCTCAGATTTCCTTTCAAGGTTAACTTCATGATGGCTTGAAGTCATCTGAGTTTCCTTGGGGCACCATTCTATTCCCAACCACCACAAACCACACACGCTTGCATTTGAACAGAAATTTGACATCGGTAATGACTCCAAAGAACTTGAGTGACTTCATTTCGTGAGACCCCTTGGAATTTTAATTTTGTGTCTAAATGTGAGTATAAACCGTGAGGTGTAGTGGCTTTACTCTGAAAGTACAAATTTTAGTTGATGCCTGAAACAGTTTCCTGAATTTAATAATCGAGATTTGTTCTCCTTGTTAAATTCTGGATTGTTTAGAAACTAAAGAACAGGTCAAAAGAAAAAAAACGTTACTGAAAAACTGTTAGTTACTGGACAATTATTTTCATAAAATATTATACCAGATGGCAATCAAAGGGACCAAGTTCAAACTGTTGATATATTTAAAAAAAAAAAAAAACTATTGAATAAATAGTAGAATTGCTTTTCTTTTGGGGGCTGTAACAGGTCTTTCATTTCTTATTTTATTAAAAATGTAAAATTTATTTATTATATGTTACACAAAGTTCAATAAAAGAAAATTTTCAATGTCTGCATTTCTCTTCTGGTCACTGTTATTATTTCATATGATTATTACTGAAAATAATTTTGGCCTGTAGAGGAAGAGGGGGGTTTAGGACTGGCTATCTACTCTCAAGGGCCTAACACAGCCTCCCTCCCTTGTTCAAAAGTGACGGAGAATTTCAAGATGGTGACACTAGAGCAGTGAACTAAGCTTGGAGTGCTTCTGAACATGACGGGCCCTGGTTTTGTGTGCCCAGTATGCTGGGAACGCCACTGTCTCCAGGTTGGTTCCCTTCCTTGATTACAGGTGAGGCTTCCGGATGTGCTGCCCCTCTCCCCTAACCTTCAGAGAGGAGCTTCTCCAATGCCCTTCAGATTCTGCATCACCCCCACAGATGACATCAGCTCTACCCTCCCATGCCCAGCTGTAGCCAAAGGGCTAGGATGACTCTCAACCTCAGTTCACCAGAAAAGTTGATTTCCCAGAACTGCACCCTCCCAGATCTTTTTGAAACAAATCATTATTTTACCAAACCAATAGTTCTTACTCTATTTATTGGATCTTAGGGAAACCTGACTATTGGGTAGTTGTTTCCTTGCCTGTTGTCTCTTTGGGGCTGAGACTTACACCGAATCTGTGCTGCGTAAAGAGAGGTCAAATTTGGCTTACTCGTTTCCCAGCATGCCACTTACAGGCAAGCACCAGTGATGATTTGGATGCCACGGAACTGTGACTGTTTGAAGATAAAGCGATGGTGATGAAGGTTGGACATTTTTATCCAAGGGCACATGGCATTCCAGGTCCTATGGAGGGAAACAGAGGAAAAAGTGAGGTCCAGCCCTCCAGGGCGAACAGGCAAACAGGGTGGGTTGGGGTGGGGTGGTCTCTGCCCTGCCCCCACTGGATGAAGAGCCTGTGAGGGTGAATGTCCCTTGGCCTTCATACCCCTGTCTGAAAGAGGAGCATCTATAAAATGCCCCAAGCTTCATGGGTCACTAGTGGGAAATAACTAATAAAAACCCACTTGTGATTCTTAAAGTGCATTTGACACAAACTGAAACCACACAAAGGAATGTGCTTCTAGGGTTTTCTTATGAAAGGCCGGGAGTAAATGACCCACAGCCTTTGCAAAGAGGCCGCCAGAGTATTTCTGAGACAAGAGTCTTGTTTTCATTCATGTACATAAAGGGATCGACTCCTTGAAGCCAAGAATCCCTGATGTGCTTGATCAATGGCTGCTAACGTGCCCATTTGGAGCTGGTAAGAAGTTAAACAGGGATTTCAGAAGATTTGTAATTGTAATTTAAGATAAGCCAGGGATGCAAATGAAGCTGACATTTAACTCCGAGTGGCTGACTGTGTACTGTGGTCTCGGGGTCCCACCAGCACCACACACACACACACAGACTTCCTAGTGCACCCCTGCCTTGCACAGTGCCTCGTGGATGGAGCCTCTCCCAGATCTGTGTGCCAGGCCTGGCCCTGTCTGGGGTCACAGGTGACAGTCACTCTACCGTTCAGACATCAGTCTGGCCCCAAGCCCAGTGTGCTGCTGTTATATGGGTGAATAGGCTCCTGCAACCATGGACTGGACTGGAGGCTAATTTCTGGAATGTCTGCTCCAAGCCAAGAAATAGCTTTCCAGTGGAAGTCCTTACAGACAGGTGAAGGCCGTGAGATGTAGGGACCTTTTCTTGGTGAAGCTCATCTCTTGGCCCCATGGTACTACATCCTAACCACACCACCCACTACCTTGAGACCTTGGCAAGTTACATTCTAAAACTTCACGTTCCTTGTCTTTAAATTGGGTGTAACCATAATGTCTACTGCAATACCTAGCACTTAGTAAGTGCTTAATAATTATTAGAAGAAAAATAAGCATTTTCTTTTACTTAACACTGAGACAGAGGGACTTTGGCTTAAGTGGTAAATTGTATGTGAGGTGTATGTTACCACAATAAAATTTTTTTTTAATGACAAAATGTAGGGGAACTTATATTTTTAGCCGCTACAGAGGAACAGGGATGGGACTTACCCTCCTGCCTTAACTAAAACACTGAAGAAAACATATGAAACAACACTTTTCAGATGTTAGTGGGAGGTGTAGGAAGTAATACCCAAGGGAAGAGTAATAAACAAGGGGAAAGACTTTCCAGGGACAGCACAGGGAGGGAAACCCGAGCCTGATGGTCTTCCTGAGCTGCAGAGACAGCTGAGAATTCAAGCAGGCCATAGCAGCTAGAATTCACGGGGCAGAATACCTGGGAGAGGAAAGTTGCAGAAGAAGGAGAGAGTTATGAAGGGAGACAGCATTGAAAATCTGACCTTGGCTGACCACCGATTAGCGTGTGCATGTGAGAAATTACCTGGAAAAAGAACCAACAAAAAGAGCAGGCTGAGAAATCCGTGTGGCTCACCCAGGTCTAGGAGTGGTTCGTGTTCCCACCCCAGGATGGGGAAAGTATTGCGATATGCAGGGCATAGAAAGAGTCCTCAGAAAGTGTTTTGGGGGCACCTGGCTGGCTCAGTTGGTGAGCCCCGACTCATAGTTTTGGTTCAGGTCATGATCTCACGGCTCATGAGTTCAAGCCCTGCATCAGGCTTTGTGCTCAGAGTGTGGAGCCTGCTTGGGATTCTGTCTCTGCCCCTCCCACTCTCTGTCTCTCTATCTCTCAAAATAAATGAATTAATTAAAAAAAAATAGTGTTTTGTTTTAGCAATGGGAAAAAGTTAGTCCTAGGCTAAAGTATGCTCTGGTCCCACCTAGCAAAGCTTAAAAGCAAGCCTCAAAAGGATTAAAGTAATTTAACTATATCCCAGAACAAAGTTCAAGAATATGTAAAGGGAAACAAAAATATCCAGCACCCAACATCACAACATTTGACATCCAACTTAAAAAATTAGTAGATGTGCAAAGAAGCGGGAAAATATAGCCCCAAATGAGGTGAAAAACCAGTCAATAGAAACAGACCCAGACATGACACTGATGATACAATGAGTGAGTAGACAAGGACATTAAGACAGTCATTTTAACTGTATTCTATATGTGCAAGGCAGGGGGATGCATGAGTATGTTAAGGAGAGATACAGAAGCTGAAAAAACAGACCCAAACAGAACTGAACTACTAGAGACGAAAAATACAATGTCTGCAATGAAAACACACTGCATGAAGGCAACAGCAGATGAAACCTTGCAGAGTGAAATACTAATGAACTTGAAGGCATGGCAGTAGGAGCCACCCAAGATGAAACAGAAAAATAACTGGAAAAAATAAAATAAGCAGAGCATCCGTGAACTGTGGAATGACTTCAAGCAGCCTAATATAGTGATTGGAGTCTCTGAAGGAGAGTGGGGAGGAATAGAAAAAAAAAAATACTTAGATGATGGCTGAAATTGTCCCAAATTTGAAGGAAATTGTAAATTCATGGATCCAAGGAGCTCCATGAATATCAAACACGAGAAACACGAAGAAAACCACACCAAGACAGATGACAACTGAATTGCTTAAAGCCAGTGAGAAAGAGAACATCAGGAAGTTTCCAGAAGGGAAAGTATACATTGTCTAGAGGAGCAAAGAGGTTTCCCACCAGAAAGAATGTAAGCCAGGGGACTGTGGAGACACATCTTTAAAACAGTGAAAGAAAAAACCACTATGTACCTAGTATTCTATACCCAGCAGAAGTATCCTTCAATCAGTGAAAGCTGACATGCTAAAGCAGAAGGAATTCATCCCCAGCAGACCTGTACCACAAGAAACATCAAAGTCCTTTGGGCGTATGGAAAATGATACTAGATGGAAATAAGCATTTATATAAAGGAATGACAAGCACTGAAAATGGTATCCGTAAGAGTGAAGATAAAAGTCTTTCCTCTTGGGGCACCTGGGTGCCTCAGTCGGTTGAGTGTCTGACTTGATTTCGGCTCAGGTCATGATCTCAGAGCCCTGAAATCGAGCCCTGCATCAGCCTCTGCTCTGAGCATGGAGCCTGATTGGGATTCTCTCTCTGTGTCTCCCTGCCTCTCTCTGAAAAAAGAAGGCTTTCCCCTTTTAAAATATCTTTAAATTTTTAATCTTTAAAATTTCTGCCCTTTAAACTGTCCACTTTCTGGAGTGGAGAATCCATGTGACTGAGCCCCACAGTATGAGACTCCTCCTGCTTTGGCCTCTGGCACGTGACTGAGGCTGATTATTTGCCTCTCTGGACCTCAGTTTCCCCCACCTGTCAAATAGGAGATACGGTGTCCCAGCCTGTTTTACAGGGTGGTTGTGATAAGTAAGCTAATAAATAACAAACCCTTCCTAAAACGAAAGCCACCTATTAACATAACTGGTCTTGTTTCAGTCTGGCGGTCCCTTCCAAGAAAACAGTTACTCTCAGTGAGCCTGCCGCGCTGATGCGAAGGCTGAAGCCTGTGTCTGGGGCAGTGGGCCTGTGTCTCCTCTCTCCGTGGAGAATCCTCCTCCCTCTTTTGGGTGAGGAGTGATCGCTTGAGAACACACTTTCTCTCCCAATGCACTCCCTCATTCTGGTCAAGCTCACCCAGTAGGCGAGCCCGTCTTCCCAGACGAACGACGACACCTGTGGCTCTTGCTGGCTTTGCCCGGTGAAGGAGGTAGGTTCACGGAACAATACCGTATCCTGTCTGGACATGAAACAAGGAGCTGAGCCTCATTCGGAGTGGCAAGGGGCCCTGCCTTTCCGCCTGTTGACTTTTCCTGTTTGCTCAGGCGAAGGTGGCCCTGGGGTGACCCAGGCAGGGAGGCTGCACCAGCGGGCAGAGGGCCAGGCCCAAATTTGAGGTTTCAGAATGACGAGTCACGCTGGGGTCACGCCCTGGGCCGGGAGAGGTGCCACAGCCCCTGCGGACTGTTCAGAAGGCTGTCCCTTCTCCTTGTGCTTCAACAAACGTTGGCTGAGGACCCGCCACACACCAGATTCACTGCCAGATGGTTTCTACACAGGGTTTAATTTCTTCTTCACGGCAGCCTCGTGAGCTGGGGATTTACAGTCCCATTTCACAGAGGAGGAAACTGAGGTCCAGCTAGTTGGCGGCCCGGCTAAATCTGAGCCCTCTCCTCCCACCTCGAGTCCGGAGCCCTTTCTGAAGCTCCTTGTCCCCGTTCCTGCATGACCTGGACGTTTGGCTACTTGCAGGGCACGGGGCTCTGAGAGGGTTTCAGAAGAAGCACAGAAGAGCCGTCCCCGCCAACACTTACAGAAAGGCTGCTCTGCGCCAGCCACTGTGCCAACTCTTCACGGGAGCCGCCTCCTGTCATCCTCAGACTAATGTAATCCTCGAAGAGCTAAATGCTACTTTGCTCCCATTTCACTGGCCCAGCATTGCACAGCTTGGAAGGGGCAGACGGGGCTTTGCAGCAGATCCAGGATTTTGTCCCAGAAAGCAGTGGGACACAGAAGTGTAGGAAGTCTGTAAACTATGGTGTGGGGCACGTTACCACCATGGGCCGCCGGGACTTCATCCCCCTGGGGTGTCATCCAGCCCCCTGCTTGCTGACCTGCCCTGGCCTGGAGAAGACACGCAGGCAGGGAGCCGTGCCCTCCGCCGTCCTGTTGGCAGGGGCTGGGGCATGCTAAGGGGGTCTGGGTGGGGCACGGATGGCTTCACTACATCGTAGGATCGTCCTGATCCCGCTGTGGATCCCGGGCTCCTGCCTGCCCGCCCGTGGGAGGGAAGCCCGTGTGTGCCCGTGTAAAGGTGCCAAGAGCAGCAGAGCGAGACAGGGAGGGCCGCCCCTCAGCAGTGGCCCTTGGCGATGTCCAGAGAACACTGCTGGGCTGTTCCTAAATCCCGCCCAGACCCCAGGTCCCCGAATGGGGGTTCCTTCCTGCTCCCTCAGCCACTCTCCAACTCCAAAACTGGGGAGCGGCTTCAAAAGGCTCTTCACTGACGGAGCAGGGGTTTGGCAGGGACTTGGCCAAGGCCCCTGAGCAGCCTTGCTGGGTCCTACCTCTGTCTTTGCCTGGCCTGCTGCGACCTCAGGGACGGGGCACTGTGCCTCCCACCGTAGCTCGGGGCTCCTGGGGAGGATGGCAGATCGTCCCCCCGGGCATGAGACCTGCCCCCTGGTTGGGTGCAGCCACAGACTCTTGGCAGTCCCCAGACCCGGAGAAACCCCAAACCGCACAGTTTCCCAAAGTGAGAGAGCTGGGCCATCTCACTCAGCCCTGGGCGGAGGGGGGACAGAGAGGTGGGGCCTGCACAGAGAGCTTCTAAGACACAAGTGACAAGACAGTGGTGGCCGTGGGGGTGGAGCCACCCTCGCCGTCCCCTTGTCCTGAGAAAATGACTTGGCTGTTTTTCTTTAGACGGGCCTGGAAAGCCCTGGGTTCAAGCCTCAGCTCTGCCGCTTAGGAGCCGTGAGGTCCTGGGCACGTTCCTTGGCCTTTCACGTCTCAACTTCTTCACCTGTAAGATGGGACTAACAGTCTCCCCATCACGAGGTTGTCAGGAGAGTACCTGCATTCCAGGTAAAGGAAGAGGGGACAGGAAGGACGGAGACTGCTGGATGCCCCTCGGCGGGCCCTTCGTGTGGCCCGAGACGCGCACTGACAGCGCGTAAAGACAAGCTGAGTGCCCTCTGGGCTCTCCGCACACGTGGCTCCTTGTCCCAGGGGGCTGGGCTGCTTCACCCCAACGCAGGTGGCGGGGTCGGGAGCCAACCAGCTGGATTCCAATCCCGGGTCCTCTACTTACGTCTGTGCTGTCTTGGGCAAGTAACTGGGAGTCTCTGTGCCTCCGTTTCCTCGTCTGTAAAATGGGGATAATAAAAGTAACCACCTCATACATTGGTACACATGAAGTGCCTGCCTGGCACACAGTCAGCGGTCAATAAACGTAAGCTCTGCTGCTCACATTCCCTGACAGCACCCTGCGTCAGTAGCTTTTCCGTCTCAAACACTTTGTCTGCCATGAAGGGCCCCCTACCACCCACCAGGTGAGGGAGAGTCCAGAAAACAGGACGTGTCATCGCTTCCCACCCTTCACCCCGGGACCTGTGCGTGAACTGCTGGGGGGAGGTGGCCCTCGTTCCCACGTTTGCTCCAGTGGCAGGGACATGAGGCAGGAGAAGGGAGAGTCCTATGGAAGGAGTCAAGTCCTTCTGTGACGTCCCCCCATTCGCCCGGCTGTGGGATCTCAGAGAAATGGGAGGGAGGCACTGGCACCCCGGTGACCACGCTCCACACGGTCCCATAACTAGTCCCAAATGGGAAGAGCACGCGGTGACAATCAGCATGCTGGGAGCGGAGCCTGGCCTTTCATAAAGCTCCTGGAGCAACCCTGCTGTTTACTCTAGATGCAGAGAAGAGTATGTAAGTTGATTAAACTGGGTCCCTGCGGAATGGCGTGGCTCCACATTTAGCAGAGACACGATACGATTGTAGAGAAGATGCAGGACCATGGAATCCCGGGTCCTCTCACAGCTCTGGCTCGCTTAATGCCAACATTGGCGCGCCGTGTGAGGCGCTTCCGCCTTCCTTGATGTCTGTCTGTGCTTTGCCACATGCCTTCGGTACATGTCAGCTGGGAGAGCATTGTTCTTGGTTTTGCTTTGCTTTTGTTTTTTTAACATTTATTTATTTTTGAGAGACAGAGTGTGAGCAGGGGAGGGGCAGAGAGAGAGGGAGACACAGAATCCGAAGCAGGCTCCAGGCTCCCAGCTGTCAGCACAGAGCCTGATGGGGGCTCGAACTCACGAACTGCGAGATCGTGACCCGAGCCGAAGTCGGACGCTTAACTGACTGAGCCACCCAGGCGCCCCTTTATTTTTGTTTTTTTAAGACTAGGCTTCTGGTAAAATCACTCCTCTCTCCCATGTCCCAAAACTTCATTGCTTTGCATATTTTATCTTTTTTTTCAATTTTGCTGTTTCCTCTCCTGCTTTCTTCCAAAAGACATTTGAGGTAACTATGGTCACACAAAAGGAACAAAGATTCATGAAGCAAAAGAAAAGAACAAAACGCAGAAAAGGGAAAGGGGAAAACGCTTACCAAGAACTCTCGGCTGAGGGAAGTTGCAGTAATGAAATCCCAAGCTTCCTTGCAGCCTGAAAAAGGAGTGAAGCGTATATACCATGTATCTTTCATTGTATACACGTTCATCATGGAAAAAAAAAAATAAACAGAAACCCAACTGATTCTTGGCTCTGAGCTTTGAGATGATCTTGTCTTGGGTCACTGGGGCTTTGGCTCTGGGTCCTTGAGTATGTTAATGAACAATTTCTTCGAATGACAGTCATAGACACATAAGATTTCCTTTTCTTGACGGTGTCCTGTGTCCATTCTCAAAACAAGATGAGTGCATAATAAGGCGAGTTTCCTTAAAGGAATTTATAAGGCTATCTTATAATAAATAAAGCCAAGAATTTTTAAATGTTTCACGTAAAAAGATTTTATTCACAATATTAATCATGTTAATATTGTTATGTTAATTAATATATTATCATTATATATTACATATTATGCAATTGTTATTAATAATAAATTTAAGAGTGTTAATAACTTGCAATAATTCATAGCATCAATAATTATAACAAATTATATTATAATAAATTATAATGAATTATATATTAAATAAATTATTAAATAAATAGTATATATTATTCATATATACTGTTATATATTATATAGTATTACTGATTACTAATAATTAATAGTAATAATCACTTCTGAGTGATAGCAGATTATCCTCAAAACCTTAAGATTAAGTTTCTCTTTCAGAGTAAATTAGGAGTTTACCCATAATGGCAGAAACATCAGGCACCTGTCCCGGCAGCTATATTTGCTTGTGGCCGTATCAGTTTCCCACCGCTGTCACAACAAACCATCACAAGTTGGGTGGCTTGAGCCACAGAAGTTAATGGTCTCACAGTTCTGGAGGCTGGAAGTCCAAGATCAAGGGGGTGGCGGGGCCAATCTCCCTCTGGGGGCTCTAGGGAAGTACTTGTTCCGGGTAATCCCTTGACTAGTGGCAGCCGTGGTATTCTCCCTCAGGATCTGTATCTAAATTTCGTGGCTCCTCACATGGTGTTCTCCCTCGGCGTCTATATCTAACTTTCCCCTTTGTATAAAGACGCCAGTCATATTAGATTAAAGCCCCCCCATTCCAGTATGACCTCACCTTGACTAATCCGATTTGCAGTGACCCTATTCCTAAATAAGGTCACATTCTGAAGTATTGGGGGGTTACGATTTCAACACATGAATGTGGGAGAGGGGGGCAAATTTAACCCAGAACTCTGGCCACGGACATGGGTGAACCCCGAAATCAAGCCGTGGGGACCAGGCTATACTCTTGGAAGGAAAAAACTGACATCTCACCGAGCTGAAACCCGATCAAGTGTCTCCTGTTCAGGCTTATGGGAGGAGAACCTTGTCATCAGAACAGCGTGATTCTTCCTGGAGCCTGGGAAAAGAGAAAGCCAAAGGATAGGAACTAGTCAGTGTTTATCCGGGCCTGGCCAAGAGGCAGAGTCAGCCAATCTGGGGATTCAGGCACCCCGGCCTCCACATAGTTACATTTGGCTCCTGAAGGGGAGGCATCCACCGTGGCTTTGATCAAATCTCTCTCAAGAGTTTCTTAGTTCTAATACTGAGCTCGCCGAACTTGGTAATTCACCTTCTCAGGAACCCAGAGCATACCGGGAACCACCATGCTGTACGTGTGACATTATACTACACTCTGTGTAAATGTGTCCCCTGGCTTTGTGCAATACACATCCCACACAGCATACAATATAGACCTAGGGTCGGTGTTCCTCTCCTGCAGAGGGAGCGTGCAGTCCCCCCACAAAAGACTCTCTGTTGTCAACGAACTCTTTGGCACTCTGGTTTATCCATCAGTCTTTTATGACTTTGGTTAATGGTAGTCTGCCCCACTCTCCCCGTGTCCCTCTGGCTGTGAAACCGGAGAACAGTTCTTCGGAGGTGTTAATTCAGAGAATAGATAAGAAATAAGGTGTGAGAGGCAGGAGGTGGAGAGGAAGGATCCTATAGAGAGAGGGTGTAGTGGTGCAGCTGGAAGAACAGTGGAGCACAAACAAATGTCCTGTGGGCTGAAGTGGACCGATGGCGTATGAGTAGTTGGCAGCGGGGGCGGGGAAGTGGCAAAGTAAAGGCTCCAAAATAGCACTGAGTGCAAGAAAACTGGGACAAGAGGAAAGGAAATGTAACAAGCATTAATGACGCTTCCGTGTTGTTTTTCAAAGAGACACAAATTAAAGACTGAAATTCCTGGGTGTTTTGTTTGCCGTTTGCCTTTTGCTGTTGGTACTCCTGATTACTTTTGGCTATTTGATGGGGCTTCTTTGAAAGCAACTCCGTATAGAAAGAACAGTGCTGTCCAAGAGAAATAGACTCTGGTCTGCATATGTAATTTTAAGTGTTCTAATGGTAGTCACTTTAGAAAAAGAAAAAGAAACAGGTGCAATTGATTTTAACAATATATTTTGTTTAACGCAAATATCCAAATATTATTGCAATATGTAGTCAGCATTTTCAACGGTATTAGTGAAATAGTTTACATCCTCTTTTTCATATTGAGTCTTTAAAAATCCGGTATATTTAGAGCACATCTCAATTTGGATTCTCTATTTCAACTGCTCTGTGGTGATCACACACGTGCATTAGCACAGATAGAGGCTGGACTATGCAGTTCTGGGTTTCTTAAGAATAAAACGATAATCATAATAGTAGTAGTAATTAATAATATTTATTGAGCATCTTAGATGCCTCTTAGATGTGACACATGTCATATGAACCCTGTTTCTCATGCAGCGGTATAGTTAATCCTCTTAACAACCTTATATGGAAGGTACTATTATTATCCCATTCTACAGATGCTGAAACAGAGCCTCAGAGAGGGTGAGTGATTTACCCAGGGCCACACAGCTGAGAAAGGGCAGAGCCGGGACTGGAAACCCAGTCTGCCTGACGCCAGCACTCGGTGTTCTTTTCTCAGGGTCAGCGAAGAGGCTGGCCACTGCCCACGCTTTCCCCAACCCCCTCCTCAGAGCTCAAGGATGGACTTTCTTTTCTGATTAGTGGAGCTGTCACGTTGCCTTAAAGAACAGACCGGAAAGAACGTTAATGGTACGGCTGAGCATCCTGTGTGACTGAGAACAGGGCAGTAACAAGACGCTCCGACTCTCATCAGCCGGAGGAAGTTGCAAATTCAAAGCCGGCGACCAGGTTCACAAAATGCAATTGTTCTCAATGACACTTACTTAGCAAAGAGCCAGAGAGAGAATTGATTGTCATTAAAAGCTGGACAAGAGC